AAAGAACAGCCAGTGCTCTAAACCACTGAGACATCTCTCTAGCCCTCTTTTGTTTCTTTTTAAATTTGTATTTCTTCTAAATGAAGGCAGATGCCATAAAAAAAAAAATCTACAAAATATTAACAAACAAAAAACCAGTGGTTTCTGATTTTTTTTTTTTTTTTTTTTTTTTTTGGTTTTCGAGACAGGGTTTGTAACATGAATCTTAAAAGATCTTATTAATAAAACATTGGGGTGAACGCTGAAAGATCAGAGATACAGAACAGGCCACAGCTAACCTCACCTCGTTAACTTCTCAGCCGATCCTGTTTCCTCAAACTGGAAGCCTCTGAGTCCTCAATCCAGAATGAATCTCAGCTGAACTAAAAGCCTACAAGCTTAACCAGGCTCTAGTTCTAGTCCTCACGCCTTATATACCTTTCTGCTTCCCGCCATCACTTCCTGGGATTAAAGGTGTGAGTCACCATGCCTGGCTATTTCCAGCGTGACTTTGAACTCTCAGAGATACTTTTGGATCTCTGTCTCCAGAATGCTAGGATTAAAGGTGTGTGTGCCACCATTTTCTGGCCTCTATGTCTAGTGGCTGTTTTGTTCTCTGACCCCAGATAAGTTTATTAGGGTGCACAATATATTGGGGAACACAATATCACCATAAGGGTTTCTCTGTGAAACAGTCCTGTCTGTCCTGGAATTCACTCTGTAGACCAGGCTGGCTTCAAACCCACAGAGACCTGTCTGCCTCTGCTTCCCGAGTGCTGGGATTAAAGGTGTATGCCACCACTGCCCAGCTTAATTTGCAAGTTTTAAAAAAATTAAATAGGAAAATCAGTGTATATTCATTGTACAGAATATTAGATTTTATTGGGTGATTCTGATGCATATGGACCATGTACTTTGATCCTATTCACCTATTTTTTTCCTTCTTTTGCTGTTCTTCTACTTGTTCCTTTGCAAATGTCTTCCCTTTGCTTTCAAACAAACAAACAAATGCTTCTCCTGACTATTTACTTGCTGTGGAAATACAAGAGTTAGTTCTCTCTACAATGTAGATTCTGAGAATGGAATTTAGGTCATCAGGCTTTGGGAGCAAGCATCTTTAGCCACTAGAGCTAGCTGTCTTGCTACCCTGCTTTCCCCTTTTTAAATTCTAGATTCTCATAAGAAAGAGAACATAAAGGTGGGGTCTGGAGAACTAGCTCAGTGGTTAAAAGCACCTGCTATTTTGCAGAGGACACAGGTTCAGTTCCCAGCCCTCACAAAGGTGACTCACAACTATCCAGGGTATCTGATGTCCTTTTCTGGCTTTCATGGGCACTGCACATGTGGTGGACTAACATACACATAAGCAAAATATTCATACACATTAAATGAAAATAAATAAAACTTTAAAAAATAAGAAACTGCACATACTATTTGTCTTTGTGACCCTGGCTTATTTTGTCCACATGATGCTTTCTGGTTCCATCCTTGTTCTTGCAAATGATATAACTTAACTTAGTATTTGTTGAGTAATATTCTATTGTGTAAAAGTGGCCTTTCCCCCTAGTTATGTAATTTGTTTATAGTTTATTACTGGGTCACTTTCTCTATATTGTACATGTACATAGTAACTGAACTTCAAAACTTTTTTATGCCTCTGTTGATCAAGTTCTGACTTTAAAGGCTCTTATAAACTTTTGGGATACTATTTTATTCTGTTTTCTTATTTAGGAAAGTATATTCTGAAAATATACTTTCCTAAATAAGACTATATTTGACTTCTATTTTTAATTTTGGTGCAACAGTGTTTTTCTTCTTTTACTAATTTATTTACTTTTATTTGCATTGATAATTTGCCTGCATGTATGTCTGTGAGGGGGTTAGATCTTGCAGGTACAGACAGTTGTGAGCTGCCATGCGGTTGCTGGGAATTGAACCCAGGTCCTCTGGAAGACCTGAACCACTGAGCCATTTTCCTAGCCCAGAGCAGTTTTTTTTTTTTAATCTGTTAAAAGCATTTAGTTTCTTCCTGCCTTCCAGCATCCCTCCCTTCTTTCCATCTTTCTTTTATAACTATTGTGAGATTTGAAGATGGAGAGTGATAAGCTGAGTGAATTACAGGATAAAGGGTTTTGATAGGGTAAGTTTAGTAACATGTTTGGGGCTAATAACACTTTTTAGGTTTTTTTTTTTTTTGAGGAGAGGCAGGGTCTTCCTACATAGCCCTGGCTGTCCTGGTACTTTGTGTAGACCAAGATGACCTAGAACTCTGATTATAAACCAGGCTGGCCCTTGAACTCACAGATATTCACTTGCTTCTATCTTTTCAGTGCTAGGATTAAAGGTGTGTGCTACCAGACCTGGCTTATGACAATACATTGTGTTAACAGGTTTTTTGTTTTTTGTTTTTGTTTTTTTTGAGACAGGGTTTTTCCATGTAGCTTTGCACCTTTCCTGGAACTTACTCTGTAGCCTGGGCTGGCCTGGAACTCACAGAGATCCACCTGGCTCTGCCTCCCGAGTGCTGGGATTAAAGGCGTGTACCACCATGCGTGTTCCAGGTTTTTATTGTTTAGGAATTTATCTGTTTGTACTTTAGTGCAATGAGCATTGTTACTTTTGAGTCTATAATGAAGTAATGACTAAAGTATCAGCTAGGTTCCTGTTCTCTATTAGTGAGGCTTGTTTTGTCATATTCATCCTCAGGTATTCCAGGCTGGAAAAAAGGAGTACCCTGCTATACTATTACTCTGACAGTCTATCCCATTTCTTTAGCTTTGAAGATACAGTCCAGTCTAAACAATAGTGCTTTCTCTGTGCAGGTTGCACTTGTTGAACTCTGCATTGTTTCTTTCTCAAGTGATCTTTATTTTTGGGTACCACAGTTTTAAAATGTTATTGTTGATCTAGTAAGTCTTCAAGGACAAATCCCAAGAGAGAGTATAGATTATGCAGACCATCTCAAATTTTAGGAACTTTGTGCTTTCTAGTCTAGAGAGGACTAAAAAGACAAATATTCTGAGATCTTTGAAGGGTTATATTAGAAGAGGTGAAAGAGGCTTTAACACTTAGGGTGTGGATATTATGAGACACATACTTTAATTTAACATAGTAATTATAGCTTCCCAACAATGAATTTTCTGTATCTGGGTGAAGCTACATTTCATTGGAAAGTGGTAATCTTAATTGCCCATTGATGTTAAGAGTAAATTATACAAATGTACTCACATTTCTCTCTAAGCATACATAATTATTGTAATATTTCAGGAAATAATTTTTAGTGTGACCTTCACAAATGTCCTACTACTCTAGTAGTTGTGAGTGTGTGTGTGTGTGTGTGTTTGTGTGTGTGTGTGTGTGTGTGTGTGAAATAATAATCTCTGATAGGACCTTCCTTTCTTACAGACTAAATACCTTTTCTGAATACTTACTCTAGGAACAGTTTGGTTATTTACTATCTTAATATAATTGAGGTGGAAATACACCCTTTTCTCTCTGTATTCTTTTCCAGGGTGATTTTAGAGCTTCTTTGAACAAAGAAGGCAGAGGATGACAAACTCAGTAATCTTTGAAGTCAGTCTAGTCCAAACTCCTATGTTTATTTACTTTGGATATGTCTTATAATTGACAATTTTAGTTTGACTTACAATAGATATTTTAAAATTAAAAAAAATTTATGTGCATTGGTGCTTTGCTTGCATTTATGTCTGTGTGAAGGTGTCAGGTCTCCTGGAACTGGAGTTACAGGCAGGTCTGAGTTGTATTGTAGGTGCTGGGAATTGAACCCAGGAAGAGCAGCCAACCCTTAACAACTGAACCATCTCTCCAGGTTGAGTAGGTATCTTCGTATGTGTGTGTGTGTGTGTGTGTGTGTGTACATGCACACACTTGCATGTGGAGATCAGATAACAGTTTCGTGTGTTCCTCTTCCTCAAGTACTGTTCACCGTGTTTTTGAGACAGAATATCTTGGTGTGTGACCTGGGGCTCCCTAATTAGGATAGGCAGGATGGCTGGCTATAAAGCCCCAGGGATTCATCTGTACCCACTTCCCTAGTTCAGGGTTTCTAGGCAGGTGCCACTGTGCCTGTTACTTATATTTATTTGGTGTTGTGTGCACCATGTATGTGATGCTCAAGGAGCCAGAAGAGGGCATCAGGTCCTCTGGAACTGGAGTTCCAGATGGTTGTGAGCCACCATGTGGGTGCTGGGAGCTGAACCCTGGTCCTCTGCAAGAGCATCAAGTGCTGTTAACCACTGAGCCATCTCTCCAGCCCTGTCTATTGTTTTATGTGGGTGCTGGGATCAGACTTGAGTCTTTGTGCTTGTGTGGTAAGCACTTTATAACCAACTCATCTCTCCAGCCCTTTAATAGATAACTTTAATGATTTTTCCCCCATTGGCATAATGAATGTAAACGTGTGTGTGTGTGTGTGTGTGTGTGTGTGTGTGTGTGTGTGTGTGTGTGTTTATTTCACTTCTGGTTCTTTCATTCATGGTGAGGTCTTTTCCTTCTTTGGCTTCTTCTGTTCAACACTAGGGTAATGAGTTTTCTTTTTCTTACTTTTTGGGAAGTACTTAATATTAAAACTATATTTTATGTAAATGATGAAGTTCTTTTAGAACACACCTTGTATTATTTCCTTCAGCCCATTTTATGTCAGTTAATATATATTAAACTTGATCATTAAGAAATGCCTTGTAGGATTTATTTAGTTATAATTTAATGTCCAATAATATTTAATATATGATTTGGATTATTTTATGAAAGCCCTAGGATTGTATGTTTATCTCCAAGTATGTTAAAAGCAGCAATGTAAATTTCCCTGTGGATGTCATTTGCATTATCTCATAATGATAAGTCTCAGTGGAATGACTTCTGAGATCTATTGTAATTATATGAGGCAACTGTTTCTACTCATTCTTTCATGTGAATGTAAGTCTTTCATACTTTCTTGATTTACTTAAGAAATTTGTATAATCTATTTCATAAGTCCTTGGCAAGTAGTTTCGATTGTTCTGTAAATAGTGCTATAATTTTAGAGAGCATTTCAAGCTATCTACTGCTGTATAATAATTTACAGGAATCATTTCAAGAATAATTATACTCTTGTAACGCTGTTGGTGACATTTTACATTGAAGAAAAAGTGGTTTTAAATATTGTTTCATAATTGTCTACATGGTAGACATTATGGTCCTTTTTTGAGGGATGGAAAATGGATTTGCTTAAGTTGAAAGAAGTTATCCCTGAAGTAAGGAACTAGTTAGAGTTGTGGATTTCATTTACTCTTTGGCTTAGTGATACTAATAGTTAGTAATATTCATGAACTTAGCACAAGTTTTCCCTTTTAGGGATTTTAATATGATTGAGTGTTTTTGATATCTTGGTGACTTTCAGAAACTGACAGAAGAGAAATACCAAGTGGAACAATGTATAAGTGAAGCTTCTATTATAATTCGGAACACGAAAGAACCCACACTGACTTTGAAGGTGATACTTACTTCGCCTTTAATTAGGGACGAATTGGAGAAGAAGGATGGAGGTACATGTGTGTATATATATATACACATACATACATATCTATGTTTTGTTTTGTTTAACAGCTCTTTTCTGTACTATACTAACTAATCCTTGAGATTTAGGAGGTTACAGACTTCATTTGCTTGTGTATGCCACCCCATGATATTTTTAAAGTTTTGTTTTTACATAGTCTATTTTTCAGTTTCAGAGACCTGTGTGCTGTGTTGCTTTAACTCTGCTTTCATGTTTTTACATCTTGATGAAGTCCTTTACCTGGTCTAGTGTAATTTCAAGTTACTGGTATCTGCTAACCTGTTCTATTATACTGGCCTACTGGTCAGATTCAGGATTAAATGTGGTTCAAAACAATTATTTTTAAATTTGCTTGCTTATTTTGAAATTACTCACTTGCATGTTGTGTTTGACTTCTAATAATTATATACCCTTAAAAATTTTGGTTACTTTTGTGTAGATTTGGTTTATAGAATAATGAAAAAGAATTAGTGAATATATTTTACTCAATAATCTTTCATCTTCAGAGAGTGTATATATACACACACACACATACATACACATGCAAATTTTTATTTTGGAGATAGGATCTTACTGCATAGTTTTGGTTGGCTTGAAACTCACTATGTAGAATTGGATGGCCTCGAACTCACAGAGCTCTGCCTGCCTCTACTGCCTCAGTGCTGGGATTAAAGGCTTGGGCCAACCACCTGCCTTCAGTAAATTTTTGAGAAGCTTTTTACTCTGTTACATTTTGAATAAGATGTATGTCCAAAAAAAAAAAAAAAAATCACTGTATGACACTGTCACGCTCATAAATGTAGAATGAGAAATTCCTTAACTGTTATTTGGTATTAAAATACCAAAACTGTTGGTAGTTTTGAAAAGTAATGAAATATGTGTGGTGAGCTTCTTTTTTTTTTTTTTTTAATCTTGTCAAGTTGGCTTTTTTTGTACTCTTAGTACTGTTCAAAGAAACATGCCACATGATACTTTTCCTGTGTTGGACCAACTGGCCACTCGGTTGTAACAATTTAGAGGCCTATGGTATATATGGGCCAGTAGGATATTTGCCATTTTCCATTTGTCAGATTTCAACAAATCTCATTGCGTACCCCTTTGCCATAAGTACCACTAAAGTGAAAAGGAGTATAGGTCAGTTTTGTAGTTTACTTCAAACTGTTGATTAGTATAGAAAAAGGCACACTTAACTGTGAAGTAGATTTTTGAATTTTAGTTCCTAGACATGAATCATAGAATCCTGCAACTAAAATAGATGGTCATCTTTTTTAAAAAAAATTCTTTTTTTGAGTGAGGGGTGGGTTAGGTTGTGTGGTCGACTAAAATCAGAAATTTTTTAGAAACCAGATACATTTTTGAGACATAATTTAAATAAAAATACATCCAATCTATAATTGGGTTTAATACTCAATCTTTACCCCTTATGCAACATGTCTGTAGCACCTTGGAAGAACCAGTCTCTTAAATGGCTTAATTTTTTCTAACATCAGATCTAGGACTTCTGGTTTCTGGTGTACCAAGATGTGTTAATTTTGGTAAGCTGTGTTCTCCTTGACCCTGTCGTACAGAACCAACCATTTCTATGTAGAGCTGTAATCATAGGTGATACTAAACATTATTTTTCAAAGATTTTTTTTTTAAAATTTTCTTTTGATGTTTTGAGACAGGGTTTCTCTGTGTAGCCTTGGTTGTTCTAGAACTTTCCCTGTAGACCAGGTTGGCCTCAAACTTACAGAAATCTGCCTGCCTCTGCCTCCCCAGTGCTGGGACTAAAGGTGTGCGCCGCTCTCACCTGGCTGTAAACATTATTTTTCTATTGAGAGGTGTTTGTTTGATATGCTCCTTGTGTTACCTCTTTGAAGGTATCAGGAAAATACAAAGCTTTTTCTCTTGTAGTTTTGTGTACTCACATGGGAATTTTGTATAGCTGTCAGTGTTGATTCCCTCAGGCTTAACCTGTTGCTTAAAAAAAAACAACCTTAATTTTGCTTCAGAGAAGCTGAAAACAGGCTCTTAGTGTATTATACCTTTGTGGAGCACTGTTAATCATAGAATGGGATTTGTGTCAAACAGAATTGCAGTGTTTGTTGAAGGTGTTTTGAGTTACTAATGATCTAAAGGCCTCCATGTGCTGACTCATTAGCTGATATGTGAGCTTAGGTTAGTTTGGAGCTGATGTTTAACAGATGTTACTTCTCTTTTTGAATGGCAGGAAGATTTGCTTTGCTGTTCTTAATATCCCAGCCCTGCTGACCAACTTGATATTTTACAGCTTATTCATTTTGTCTAATCTGGGCTTTGTCATATTTTTGTCTATATTCCTGGGCATCTTGGAGTATCCAACATAATTGAGCATCTGCAATCTGGATTATGCAGTTCTGTTTGTTCACCTAGACACTACTCTTTGCCTTGATGTAACCCTTTCCATCTCCATAGGATTGGAAATACAAAGCACATTGAGTTTTCAGGGATACCTGGCACTGACAGATAGTGTCCTCTTCCCTTCTGTCCATTTTCTTTCTCAGAGTTAAACAATAACACTTTGTCATAGTATTCTGACTTGATTTACCACTCCCAAATACACAGTTTGCAGTAGATACACGTCATCTATTTCTTCCCTTTCTTAACTTTGCTAAATGACTTTGACAGAATCTAAACGAGAGGAAAGGAAGGTTGAGAACAGACAGAATATTTTCTGTGTAGAAATAGATAACCATTCACATCAAACCACCATTTATTTTGTAAGTTGTCAAGAGTGAATAAAAGATTATCCTTTTAAAAAAAATGTTGTCACAAGCAAGACTTCTATGCTATCAGTGTTAGCATGCTCCAATACTAGAAGGCCTCGTGGAATGACCATTTCCCTAGTATTGTGTATTTCCTTTAAAAAAACAAAAGTACAAGAGAAAAAGCACAGCTCTTGCTGTATAATATCTGTGTGTTCAGTTTTTCATTCTATTAGCGTTGTGTGACATTGGGCATACTTCTTAACTTCAAAATAAAGATAATAAAGAAACAGTAAGTTGTCTGCAGGGTTCAGTGAGAGACTCCATATACAGTGGCATATGCAACTAACTTCTAAATACTGAAGTTCAGAAATCACTCAGCTACCTACTCAAACTGTCTCAACAGAGTGATGTGATCACATTAGGTTCTGACAGTTGAACCTTAACATAGCCGAACTGTCTGTCTATGTATGTATGTATGTATGTATGTATGTATGTATGTATGTATGTATGTATATATCTCCCTCCCTCTCTCTTTCTTTTTTCCTCTCTTTCTCTCTTTCTCTCTTTCTTTCTTTCTTTCTTTCTTTCTTTCTTTCTTTCTTTCTTTCTTTCTTTCTTTCTTTCTTTCTTTCTTTCTCTCTCTCTCTCTCTCTCTCTCTCTTTCTTTTCCTTCCTTCCTTCCTCCTTCCTTCCTTCCTTCCTTCCTTCCTTCCTTCCTTCCTT